GCAAGATGGGATTTGTTGAGTTATTAGATTTCAATAGATTGCATATCTAATGATGAACAAATTGTTGAAGAAAAAAAAAAAAAAAAGAAAAAAAAAGATATATTTTTCTCTAATTCTGAAACTAAAAAAAAAATCATCTGTTCAGAACTATTGATCGATAAAGCGGAAAGTTAGGAAAAAAAAAAAAAAAAAAAAAAAAAAGTAAGTTGAATTTAAATCTTTGACAAGACAATAAATCAATGAAAAGTAAAACTGCCTATTCAATTAGAAATTTATTATATGGCGGGGGAGGGGAGATCAAGTTATTCAAAAGCCCACGTTTTTTCTACCTACATGCAACAGTCACCTGCTTAAAAAAGAAACAACACATACACTTGGTCGGATGCGAGTATTCAATAAGGTTAAAAAAAAAAAAAATAAAGAAAAAAAAATTTCGAAAGGTTCGATTGCTCAAACACTTAAATTAAAAAATCGTTTGTTATTTACAAAAATAAAGTCATCCGCTTTTTGAATCGAAACAAATTACGAACCGATATGCTGTCACAATAAAAAAAAAAAGTCTTTACTGTCAGAATGATGTATGTAGAATTAAAAATGCATTTCCATAACAAACTTTGTTGAAATCATGAATTTTGATTTGAGTTATAAAAACGAGATGTATTCAGACACGTTTTCACAAAACAGAACGTAATTCCAGGTAATAATTTATAGACGACGTTAGGCATTTAAAAAAAAAAAAAAAAAAAAAAACGAACTAAAAACATCAAAGAACACTTCAGGTAGAAGACCCTTTTGTTTGAAACCTAGGATAATTTTATTTCAAAATTCTTACAGAAGAAAAATAAACAATAAAAAAAACAAAGAAACTTAAAAACAGAAAAAAAAAGACTGAAGTTAAAAAAGAAATCTTAAAAATAGTCTGTCTGTATGAAAGTATTTCAGATCTCAATCGAAATGAGCTTCTTCCAATTTATAATTATTTAATTTCGATTCTTCAGGTTGGTTTGTTTTACTCTAGTCTAAAGTAGTAATTAAAAATTATCTGGGTAAAAAGTTAGAAAAAAACCCCAAAAAAAACAAAAAAAGAAAAAAAAAAAAAAAAAGAAAAAAAAAAAAAAAAAAAAAAAAAAAAAAAAAAAAAAAAAAAAAAAGTACTTTTATTTTTAATTCTGTCAATTTATTTCGTACAGTCCGCATTTTGTGAGCTTGGAGTTTTGAAAAAAAAATGTTTATTAATTTAAAAAAAAAAAAAAAAAAAAAAAAAAAGGAACAAAAAAATTCTAAGGTTTAAAAATTTCATGTAAAGAAGTAAAATTATCTTTAAAAAAAATGTGTCGTTTGATGATTCAACATCAAAAGGAAAACAAGAAGAGGAGATAAGACAAGAAGGACATGATATTGATTTTAAAAAGCAAGTGATTTTTTTTTAAAAAGTGTTTCTGCACTACGAGGTTGCAAGAAAAAAAATTGTATAAAACTTCATTTCATTACTGGACGGTGCTTTTTTGGCTGAGAATTAAAAAAAATCACAAAAGTAACGATCATTTGAATTTCTCATAAAATTTAATAAAAGAAACCTGTTTTTGGTGTTTGCAAAATAAGTCAAGAAGAGAGTCAAGTAACAGAGAACAGATCTTTGTTTAGAAAATTCGTAAGTAATTTACCATTGCCTAACAAAAATGTTTAATTAAACTGTAAATGTTGTTCTAAACTTTGTTATATTTCTAGAATTTTAAAGGCCGGAATAAATGCTAATCCGAAGGTGCAATATAATATGGTACAAAACACGACAGGTGAGTGAAAAAAAATCTTCAGTCAAATCTTAACAATTCTTGTCTGCTTACCACTAAAGAAACATGAAATCTAGCATTCTGGTGGAATATTATGCCATTATTAACTAATTCCAGTTGCGTTTTTTGTTTGTTGTTACCTTCAATTTCAAATGGTAATTTGGAAGCCATACTTGTTCGAAATCAATCGTTTGTTTAATAATCGTAGTGAACTTCCTTCTAGTCTCGCCAAATGACACAATAAACCCCTTTTTAAATAAAGACTGGCCTTTGGTAAGTTCATTTTTCTCGCATTCCACATGGATTCATTTCTCATCGTTCGTCACGAATGGAAAAAAAAATAATGGAAACTTTAAAGTAGCGAATCACATATTGAATTCAATTCTCGATGGGACGGGACTGTTTTTTGCCTCTGATCTCATGTACACATGAAATCCCTACTTTAAACTTGTCCTTGTGCCATATTCCGTTCGAGTTAAAATTCAGATAGCACACCGAACGACCATTCCATATTTGTGGAAGCTACACATCAAAGCGACTAACATAACCAATATGGTACAAATTATTTTCAACGGCTGGCTTCGATATTTTGACAACGGTCCATCTCATAACGTGGATTATTTCCAACTCCTATACCGATTTGATCGCTAGTCTGCCAGATATCGTGAAACCTTGCAAATCACTTTTTGGGGGACATTTCTGTCTGAATTTCTAGAACGAGTAGTTTAAACTAAAATCTTAAAGTTATTTAAGTTACAATGCTATCTAAAAACAATAAAACAAAACAAACAAACATTCGGTCATTTTGTATTTTTTCCATGAAAATATTAAAAAGTTAAAAAATCGAAAGGAAGTATTTATCTTCAAAGACTGATGGGATTTAATTTCAACAACGTTTACGTAAAATATAAAAATGAATTTTAGATTTTTTTTTTTTTAGGAGAGAGACAAGGTTAATCGATTTCGAGGGAGATTTATTTTTTTCATAAAAATTCCTTTAACTGCAAAATTGATTTCTCAAAGTTTGCAAGTGGATGTGCCATTAAAAACGATGTATAAACAACGAATTAAGTTCATTTGTGGTTTGACTCACAAAAAAAAAAAAAAAAAAAAAAAAAAAAACGATTCAGAAACTAAAAAACCTAAAAACTAAACAAACATAAAGACGATGTATAAATATTCGCCAAGTTACTTTCGTTTCCTCATATTTAACAAAAATACACATTTTCTTCACACTAAAAAGAAAAACGCAAAAAAAAAGAATGCATTGAAAAAAAAAAAAAAAAAAAAAAGAATGAATGCTATTTTCTTCAAAACAACGTCCTCAAGCAACTGGTTATTGTACTGTTTATGAAATCATAATCCAAAGTGTAAATGCACCAATTTTAAGCATGTAAATTAGATTAGAATTATTTCAAACATTTTATTCAATAATCCAAGCAAAGAGTGATTTAAAAAAAAAAAACAAACAAAAACCATTAACGACAGACAAAAATTAAGTTATAATAGAACCGGTCATTAAGTTGGTGACGTGTGTGAATGTCGTAATTTCATCCAACAGCGGCACAAGACAAACATAAAAAAAAAGAAAACAATATTAAGTAACTTTACAATACATAGGTAAAAAAAATGTTGCACTCTTAAAATACATCAACTTTTACACTTGAATAATCATAAAAATTACATAACCCTTTCTGATCACCTAAATTTAATTTCTAAAAAGGTTTTTTTGGGGGGCACTAATTAATTTTAATGCACAAGAGACGAAATTTACTCACAAACAAATTTTACGTCAAATCTTACAAAATTTAGTGCTTAGTCATATTTTCCTTTATCGACAGAAATATGTAGTTTGTAAGTGTTAAAAAAAAAAAAAAAAAAAGAAGCGATATTGGGCAACAATACAAAGCTCCTGAACCTTCCTTACCTAATTAATGAGTTTAAAAATGCAGACGGCATTACAACAGCAATTATAGTTTCATTCCCACCCAGGTACGGTTAAATAAAAAATGTGTCTCAAAATGTAATTTTTTTAAAATATGATTAACAAATTGTACTCGTGATATGATATTTGACAAGAACGTTGTACCATTGTCCAAGGATTAACACTTGACAGATAAAAAAATCATAAGTGAATCTAAACTTTAAAAGGAATTTATTATTGTGTTAAAAACATCACGTGTTTTCCTTTAGGCGTTAGGGGTTTTTTAGCAAAAAGGATCATGATTAGAATTAATAATAATCTAGTTTTAGAACAAAGGTGAAATAATTGCTATTTCAATAGCATGTGTCACTTGACTAAAAAAGAGTGGGTTGCATTTTACTTTTAGTAGCAAGAGACGAACAATTTATTGAGTCAAGTACTGCGGTCCTACAGCTACAGACGGAAAACTAAAAGTAGAAAAATTCTTTTCAGTTTTTATCGAACTGTATTTGATATCTAATAAATCGGAATACAAATTGATAATTATTTTTTTATGTAGAGCAGGCAAAGTATCAAGTGTTTTGATGCTGTTTTTTGAAAAGATTTTGTAAACAAAACAATTTGCCACTGAAAAACAAACTAGAATTTTTCTGTCTATATTTCTGAGATGAGGTCTTGTAATTATTTATTTTACACATTGTTCGGAATTGTACAACGGCCGAAACTTCGTGAATATGGCAATGAAGATGAGAATAGTTTCTGAACAATGTAAAAGTGTAAATGAATTAAAAAATCTGTATTTAAATCTGAAAAATCATTTTACTTTAAGTAGTGTTTCAGCTTTATTTCACTTCGTGATTTTTGATACAGCATTTTTTGATGAACCAAGCCGGGTATATAATTTGAGTGTACGAAACAAATACAGAAATTTTAAGTTATTCCTACTTAAAGAATAATTTGACCTTGCGAACATTTTTGAAACAATTATTAAACTTAAAAAACAAAACAAAAGTAGGAAGTCTGATATGAACAAAAAATATCATTAAAAAAATTAAATTTATCTTGCATTTTTTTACATATATTTTTTTACAAAAAAAATGCATTAATTCATTTTTTTCCTAATGCATTCCCGGCCCAAGAAAATTATTGTTTTCATAACAGATGAAGGAAGACAAACGATGAACATGAAATAATAATAATAATAATAATTGTTCCTTGTTTTTCTTCAACATTGCAATGGCTATCACAAAAATAAATGACAAATACTGTAATAATCGCTAACCTACCTCCCAAGGGACCTGCAGAATATATAATCAGCCTGCCAGTTTAAAGACTTTGTGGTTCCATTCCAAGAACCACAAATTTACAACAAAATCAGTTTGCGATGAATGACATGGTCGATAGAAAGTAATAGTAGCAAGCCGGAAATTAACACAAATAACGGTGTCAATGCATAAGAGTTAACTATTTAACATAAGACCGCCCATTATCTCCGCCCACGAAATGAAACTATTTTCAGGTTCGATGCAGCCGAACAAAGAATCTTGCGTGTAAAGACCAATGGTGAGAATAACCAAGATTCTCTAGTGCAGAATTTCAGGCTCTTGTCTTTATACATTTTTTTTTCAGAAATGGAAAACGAATTTAAAACTTTTACAAGCTCTTTAGCTTTGTATTAAAAAACGTTGCCAAAACTATGGTTTTCCTTCTCTTTCGGAACTAGAGAATGAATACATAGTAGAAAACTGTTTTGACTCTTACGTATGCAGTATTCATTTGTCCTGTATTGAGGGCAGTGATGGCAGTGGACAAGATATATGTGCAACACATCATGTTAGGCAAAACAGCAACCAGAAGAAAGATTGATGAAGCTTATGTAAACAGTTCAATTGGAGGAATTGGATAATGTGAATGGTTTGTGAACTTCAGAATGGTGAATTTTATTTCAAGGACAAACCACACAGTGCTAGGCCTCAAGAATTTGTATGTAATGAATGACTTGCAAATACTTTTAGATGAATGACACCAATACTCAACAGTAGAATTGGCTGAAAACCTGGTGTCAGTCACTTGTCAGTTGTAAGATGTTTATAAAATATGCTGCAAGATTAAAAAAAGCTTGGTTCCACAAATTGAAGCATTAGACAATGTCTCAACACATGAATTTTACTTCTGATCAAACATGAAAAAAAATTTTTTGAAAGATTATCACTGGAAATGAAAAGTGGATTAACTCAATCCAAAGTATTGATTCAGGACAACCAACAAAATCAACAGCTAAAATGCAGAAAATAAGTTATCAGTTTATATTTGATGGTATGTAAAAGGTATATACAGTATTAGGAGTTTTTAAAACCTGGTAAAACTGTTATTGGCATTGTGTTACATTTCATCACCTTCGAAGTCTGACTGATGCAATTGAAGAAAAAATGACATTTACAGGACAAGGAAGATGAAAAGTCATGTTTCTCCATGATTAGGTTTTCATATTGCTTCAGTGGCAAAAAACAAACAAAAAAAAAGAAAAAGAAAATTTGTACTGGAATTGCAGTGGGAAATTGTTCATCATTTGGTCTATTCCTTTTATTTGGACTTTTTCCACTCAAATACTTACTTTTTTTTCTTTTTTCAAATCAATGCACTATTCTGTTTAAACAAAAGTTTATGTTCAAAATTTCATTGAAAATTTTATTGCATTGACCAAGCTGTATTTTGGCATGAAATCATAGAAAGTCAAGGAAAAATATTTTGATGACTAATAAATTTATTTACTAGTTATCATTAATGCATTAATTAAAAAAATGATGGAAAGTTTTGCACATGCATGATAGTTGCATCATCTTTTTATTATGAGAAGCTTTAGATTAAATGATTTAAGGAGAAAACTTAAAATAATGACAGCAATTCATTAAAAAGCAAAAAGGGAAAATAAAAAATTAATAAAAACTTAGATATAATTTTTGTTTTTCTTGTCTTTGTTTTTCTTTAAAATGTTATTTAAGTGAAAAGCACATTTATAAAAATTTTCTGTTTTTGTTGTTAGATGACATTTGGGGAATTTAGTTTTAATTGTAAAGATTGCTTTTGAATCTATTGTGACAATCAACATATTGGCATGAATTGTTGTCTTTAAATTGTCAGTTTTGTTTGGTTTATTGATTTTAATATTGAAGTGACAAGAAAATAAACACTTTTGGCTAATTATACTTTTCCTATTTTAAGCTGTTCCACTGTTGGATAGAGCAATTATTGTTGTTAGCCATCGAATGAAGGCATCACTTGTCGAGAATAATCCGAAATGATGTTGCAGGAGAAATCCAATATGTTTAAAATATCCAGATCTAACATTGAAAATTATTAGGTTACTCATCGATGTGTGGCCTCAGCAGGAAAAAAACAAATGCTAATGGAGCACATTTCCACTTGTGGTTGAAACTTAAAGGTAATGAAAATGTCCTGTTTTAAAAGAAGATTATAATGAGCAATAAGACAAAGGAGTATGGAAAACACAAAATAAAGGACCACTAACATTACCAAAGTTTGATCTTTATCCAAAGAATGTGATACTGTGTATATGATGAAATTGAATGAAATCGTTTTGCATGAACTTCTTCCAGAGAGCTGAGATGAGTGATTCAAACAAGTACTGCTGTCAATTAAACCAACTGAAACCAGAAATCAATACAAAGTAGTCAGAATTAGTCAAGAGAAATGGCATGACATTCCACCTGGATAATGTGAGATGACATATTTCATTGCTGACCATATAAAAATTGTTTCGGCTTGGCTGGACTGTTTTCACTCATTCACTGTATTCAACAAATAATGCAATTTCAGATTACTATTTTGGATAATCAATATAGAAATCTCAGTGAAAGGAATATCTCTGAAAAACTGCAAAAGACATTGAGAATAGCTTTTGTTAAGAAGGTAAAGATTTCTGGAAGGAAGTTATCTTAAAGATGTTAGAAGTCAGAGAAACAGACAGTAAATATGTTCTGCAATAAAGGTAATGCCAGAAATGCTGAAAATGGTTTCATTTATTTATTTTGTTCATTCCATGTAACTTGAGGAACTTTTAGAACTTTAAGAGTTCCTTAGATCAGAATTACTTTATTTCCAAATAATGATTTTTAGTCATATATAGTATTCAATTAAGTATGCAGAAACACACACACACACAATATATATATTTAATTGAATGCACCAAATACACCAGAAATGATGGCTGTGACTCAATTTTGAGCAGTGCCATTGCTTGATCCATCCTCAAATATGGCAGTGCAGATCTGTTTTTTTAGTCCTGTTAAGGTCTTACATTCTCTTGCACAGATGTGGCAATGTTGGACATCTCTTGCAGCAGTTGTTACATTAATATTTTGGTGAACTTTCAAATGTCATTTTAGTCCACCAACTGAGGCACATTCTTTTATGCACTCTAAAGTAGAAATGCTACATAACATGTAGCGAATGACTTCTCTGTATGTGTGCAGAGTCTTTGATGATTTTTGAGATCTGACCTACTTAGATGCAACCACATTCATTATACAATAGATCAAATTCTGTGGCAATATTTCAGGGAAGCTAGCATGAAGACTCTCATGAACATCTCTCTTGTTCTTCATATGCAACATGATTCTGTCTAAAATCTCTCTTACCATTGTACACTGCTTTCCTCCAGAATGAACGATCATAAGCCACAGTTTTCCCTGTCATTTTGCATGATGTTGGCCTTCTGCAGTACATTTTTGATGCAATCATTATATCTCAATATTTTTTTGTTCAGTAGTTTTTTTCCTTCAGCCAATACACTATATAAGAATTGCTTAAGGATCCTATTGTCCTTCATCCTGACCACTTCACCGGAATCAGTACTAAAGTACCAGTGATTCTATATTGGTAAACTGATTGCATTTGAGGATTTCAAGGTCATTCATATACATTTTCCACTGGATGCACAATATATATCAAGACACCATTGGTGAAATTGCTCCATCTTTTTCATGTGTCTCTGGTAAGTGGCACCAGGTCCTTACATGCATACAACAATGAAGACAAAATGTGAGTATTATAAACCTTCAATTTTGTTTCAATTGAAATTCCATGCTTAGACCATAGTTGTCCATCCAATCTTCTGAAAGTATTACTGGCCTTCTTGATTTGAAGAAAGATTTTATCATCCAGGGTATTTGTCATATTTATAATACTTCCTAAATAGGCAAACCTTTCCACAATTTGCAGTTTCTAGCCATACACATAAATGCTTGGCTTAAATTAGGCTTTATCTATACTAGGTTGGTACATTACAGTAATCTTTTTCAAACTAAACTTTAGACCCAATGTACTTCATGCTGTCAAGAAGAATTTCCTAAGAGTAAGCAACAAGATCACAACCATAGGCATACAGTAAATTGTGTATTAGTGATGATCATAGCTTTGTTTTGGCAGTGAACTATCAACATCTTATCTGTTGGCCAATATTTGATGTAAACTCCATGTTACTTATATTATTTACATTATTCAGACTGTTATCCTCATCTTTATTGCCATATTCACAATGTTTTGGCCATTGTATACTCTGGCCTTCTTCATGTGATTGGAGTTTTGAACCAAACCCTTTATTTCATCCACCAGGGTAGATTGTTCTAGTTCCACATGCCATGCTTCTTCTGGAGTTGTGAGTTCAGTACCAGGCTACAGCTGTGATGAACCAAAAACTTGGAGAGTTGAGTTAAAGGGAAATAACTGAGACATCTGGAAGAGGCATGGTGCATGGAATCTACCCCGGTGGACGAAATAAACGGTTCAGTTTGAAATTCCAATCACCTGAAGAAGGCCAGAGTATACAATGGCTAAAACATTGTGAATATGGCAATGAAGATGAGGATAATAGTCTGAATAATGTAAATAATGTAAGTAGTCATAATTCCTTGTCTCAGAGATGTAGACAGATAAATGCCATGTGTACATCTTTTAAAGGCCATCAAGAAAACCATAGTAAAGTACAACACAAACAGAGTTGTCACTGTTATATCCATTTACTTTACAACATTTTCAACCAAAATTACATCAGAGAGTTTAGCACACACATTGACACCTTTCATTTTTTCATGGAACAGAGAGAAATGTCTCAGAACATCAAAGCTTCTTGAGGTAATTTCTGCTCACAGTATCAAAAGCTTTTGTTATAGCAACGAAGACTTGACACAAGACCCATGTTTTGCTCAATGCATTTCTCTTGCAATTGCCTTACAAAACATTATCATATCTACTGTCTCCCTGTATATCTGAAATCACACTGTGATGTAGGAAGGACTTCATCAGTGATATTGTTTGGAAGTCTGTCCAACAGGGTCCTAGACAACACCTTGCCAATAACAGAGAGAAGGAATATCCCACAGTAATTCCCAGTCATCCTTGCATAGGTAATTCCTTCAGTTGTCCTTTCATCTGCACATCTTTCCAAACATCTGGTACATTCTCTACT